GGGTGACTGATTGTATTGGATTGGGTGGTCTGTTGGCGGCTTGAATTTGCCGTTGGGATGGATTTGCACCAAGCCCTCGCTTGTACTGCCAGCCTCTGCCTGACCCTGGCTGTGCGCCCGGTGATTCAGAGGCAGATCCAGCGCCATGCCCGGGCGCCCACACCGAATGCCGCGAGCATTGCTCGAAAACCGAGCCTGAAAGCGGAAAGGTCAGCTTTCTGCGGTCTTGAAAGGGATGTCGGCCACTTAGATTAGGTGGCTAATTGAATTTGGTGGCTGATTGAGCTGGGTGACTGATTGTATTGGATTGGGTGGTCCGTTGGCGGCTTGAATTTGCCGTTGGGATGGATTTGCACCACGCCCTCGCTGACGCATTGCGTCCCGCATCCCGTGGAAGTTATACGTACGAAGACGACGGAAGAGGCTTTCAAGGTTAAACTTTGCAATGCTCAAGCCACCCGCCACCAGTGGGGCTGCAATCAAAACCACCTGATGCCCATACCTAAGATGTTAGTCTACCCTTTTCCCGTTCGCTTCCATTTTTCAGCGCTTTTCTTTAAGTTTTGGAAAGGTTTCCATCAAGTTTCCACCCAAACTTGCGTTGATGACTGCAAAATGAGTGCAAATAAGGTAAATGTGGCTTCAAAAGGAGCCAAAAGTGTCACAGTGTGAAGACTTCCTTGAAGTCTTTATCCCATATTTTGCAAACGCCTCAACCATTCTATACCCATAAGTTCTCAAAATCTGTATCGAACGCAACTAATGGATGCCTATTGGTTCACCCAGCACCTGAAGCCTTTTAGACGACCGTGCTTGAGCCCCCACTCTCCGGGTCTCAGCGGAGGGGGCTGTCTGCAGTCCGCAGTCCCCCCGACCCTCAGGCGTCCGCCTGGCGGGACGCGGGGACCAGCCCGTACCCAGACCTGACAAAAAACCGTGTTTAACGGTGTGCAGCGGGCGCTCAGCGCGCGCGCCCCTGCCTGTTGTTTCACAATGGGCTCAGGTGTCCGACCGGTTTGGAGAGCGGCTCAACACGCTCGCCCGGCTCGTTCACGAGACACGCGCCTCTGTCCAGGCAGGGATCGGGGGGGGGGGGGGGGTGGCGGGTGGAGGTGGGGTGTGGGGGTGGGAGCTCATACAGTTGGCGGCATTCCGCTAGCTCCTAAAACGGGAGGGCAGGTTTGGAAAGCTGCACTGCGTCGGAAACACGCACCTGGCTTACGTTTGAAACAACGCTGACTTGTACCGACTTTTACTCAGGGAACGGGGACGGCTGCATTGCCGTTGCAGGTGCATGGCTACAGGTCAGCTCGCCTGCTGACGGCAAAATCCGGAATTATAATCGCATGGGCAGCAAGGCCACGCATTATCAAATATTGAAATCAGCACAGCCCGTCCATGACCTGTCTCGATTGTCCTCTGTCGTCGCATGACTTGCCGTGAGTGACATCATGCCTCCGTCTTCTAGACCGGACTCACGATCCACCGGCCACCCACGGCTCCCCAACAGTCACGCCATGACTCCATCACCCAGAGCGGGTGGACGATACACCGACCACGACTCGGCGCTAACCGCCGGCATGACTCACAGTGGCCGCCCGCTGCTGCGGTGACATGACTCAGCCCGGCAACGCTCGGCGGGCGCGTCGGCGCGTTCCGGCGCCGGTGACAGGACGGGCCGACTCCACCTGCGATAGCTCGCTCTGCGGTGGACGAGCCGCCTTCGTCCCGGGAGAGCCGTCCGATCGAAGGCATGGAGGTCAGCGGGGGAGTTGGCAGCCTGCCAGCGGCCCCGCCGCCAGCTGTTGCAGACGCCGCTGGCCTTGGGGCCGTGCGCCGGGTCGGCCGGCGGCCGGCGCGGCCCCGCCTGCGAGGGGTCCACCGGGTGGCCGCCGCCGCCGCCGCCGCCGGTCGTTGGGCCCCAAGCGGGGTGCGCCTCACATGCGGTGTGGCGACCGCGGTGATGGGCAGCGATGGCGTTTTTTTCTGTGTTTGGGAAGTAAAAATGGGTCGGGGTTCGGAACTCAGAACACGGCGTGCACAATCACGCAGCGTTTGCCGCCCGGCCACGCCCTTCTGGCGCACACGTGCTGCGTGGAAGGCGTGGTGGGGGCGATCGGCGGGCCAGACAGTGCCCAGACTGGCCTTGGATTTCAGTGTGTGGGGGACGCAGCCTGCGGGCATTGTCAGTCAAGTTATAGACCGGGCCGTGAGGTCCCGAAGAGGCAAAACTCTGCCCAGAAGCCTGTCCAAAAGGCGTCCAACGCGTCAATCTGCCGGAAGGGCTGAAGCCACCACCGCCATAATGAAGCCGCTGTGATGTGCTGGCTTCATGTGTACTGATCCAAAGTGTATCACTCTCAGACACGTCTGGGAGTAGGCTTATTGCGAGGAGCCCATTACGCTCCAACCGACAGGTTTGCTTCTTTTCCGGGATTAGTTTGTAAACACAATGAGGAGTAGCGATTACGCTTTCCGTCTGTTCCCAGCCACGCAAGACGGCGGGCCAGCTCAACTAGAGGCCGCATAGTGCACTGTCAATAACTCCCAGGAAAGAGGATACGATTCTGCATAGCTGCAGGATGTTTCTTGACATGCCTTCAGTGAGCTATGCATGGCCCGCGTCTATTTGTGTATATGCTTTCCCGCCACCATGTTTTTGTCCGACGTGTTGGAATGTGGTTACGCTTGTTCACATATTTTTCGTGACTTCGTACTCACCCTAAAACGTGCTTCTGTCTACGTGGCATCGTGGCGCTTTGTTACGTGGTTAACGTGAGTTCGGGCCTGATCGTCATACGTCCACGCTGCGGTGGCAGGACACCGAGATGAAATGAGAACGGAAAAACGGCTACAGAATGCGCTGTCCGTGCGTGCTTCCCTGAGTGCGACTGCGAATGATGACCGTTGATCCAGTTTTCCACGCCGGTAAAGTTTCGGCGGAGCATCCCTTTTTTCCAGCAAACTACGCCGGAAAGCGGTAAAAGTAGTTACTGCAGGCATTTTACGATGGAACTACAGGGAAATCCGTTATTTGCCTTATAGACGTGCAGGGAGCAATATCACTTGCTTGTCTGTTTTGCGTTATAGCTGTTTTTGCTGCCTCACATGCGAATTTCAGTTATAGACGTGCTACAGCATGGCAAAAACGCACCAACTACATGGAAGTAATTTCATAACTGCCATGCACCTCTTGTATAACCCGTGATCCTTGTGTGTACTTGCGTCCGTGGCGTGACCAGCACAGATGCATGGGGACCGACCGCAGCCCGGCGACGCCTGACTAGCACTGTCCCTGGTACCAGTCGCCAACGTGCTTCATGCACGCCTACATTTCTAGCATTGTCAATGTCCTGACAATGGCATCGGGAGCCCATCACAAGCTATAGTTCCCAACCACCGCCACCTCTCGCGAGATTTCGCAAACGAGAGCTGTTCGGCAAGTGAAAAGCGGCTTTGCGAAAGAGTTCCGCGCGACATTTTCACTCGCACTCCATTTCGAGATTTTATGTGGCGCGAAATAACGCATTAGACTGGTAACGCTGTATTTCGATTTCATTCTCCGCTGCCTTTTCCAGCATTTAGTTTCGTCACCTTTTCTCAAGCCCGTTTGTCCGTAGCTTTATCATGTGATACGCACTTCCCTCCGTTTGAACGGTACGTGCAGGGGAACAAAGCCGCGAATAAAATGTGGCATTTGTAGCTGCACAAAGAACAGAGTTTCATGACTATTAAACTGGTCGCTTGATGTCAAGATCCTGGGTAAAGTCTGATGGCAGTGGCGTTTTGAACCACAAGAAAGCTGGCTGTCGGCCAAGCATGCGCCACCCAACAAAAGCTGGCATATTTCAGGGCATGCCTATATTTGGTTCGACTCGGTTTCTACAAACTCATTGCGAAACGTGTTCAGTTTCGTAGCATGAACTGTCTCAGCCTAACCCATGTCACAGCGACGCAGCATATATACGTGAGACGGAATCGCATCAGCGTCGTGACCGACTGCACGCGTCCGTCCCCAGACACGGTGTCGGCGTCGCCCCGGGCCGAGCCCGCGGACCGAGTCGCATCAGCGTTGTGACCGACTGCACCTGTCCGTCCCCATACACGGTGTCGGCGTCGCTCCGGGTCAAGCCCGCGGACCGAGTCGCATCAGCGTCGTGACCGACTGCACCTGTCCGTCCCCATACACGGTGTCGGCGTCGCTCCGGGCCGAGCCCGCGGACCGAGTCCTTGACGCCAGCACGCCAACCGCTCGTGAGTGGACCGCAAGACGTGATCTCGATCACGCTGCGCAGGTGGAGGCTGCAGTCCACCCCGTCATGATTTCCACTCTCGGTTTTCGCCGCCTCGCCACGGCCGGCAACTTTGCGTCGAAGAGCGCGAGTTCCGCGGCCGAGTCGAGCCTGGGGTCGGGTCTCGCCCCGCGCGAGGTTGTACGTCCACCGCCTCCGCCGGCCCTCCTGTGCTGGTTTTAGCCTGGCTGCTGGCCCTTTCGAGCGACGGTGAGCACTCTTGTCGATCTTGAGTGGCTCCGTTTTGTCATTCTCCCAACCTCCACTGTCCACCGGGGTTGTGGTTCCCCACTGTGGATCCCCACCCACTCAGGTGTGGGGGATCCAGGCACCCTACTTTTAGGGGAAAACGGGTCAAATGCGGGAGAACCTCATTTTCAGAGTATTTGCGTGGCAGGTCTAGACATTTCTTTCCCTCTTCGTCCACTAACTTATCTTGACCTGAGCTGTCCTCGCCGGCCTGCCTGTTCTGACCTACGCCGGCTAGCAGGACTGAGTTGCCAGCCGTTCCCGTGCGCTCATCTGCGTACTCTGCTGCGCTCCGTACGCTCACCTGTGTACCGCGCTGCGCTCCGTGCGCTCGCCCGTGTACTGCGCCGCGCTCCGCGCGCTCACCTGTGTACCGCGCTGCGCTCCGTGTGCTCACCTGTGTGCTGCGCTGCGCTCCGTGCGCTCATCTGTGTGCTGCGCTGCGCTCCGTGTGCTCACCTGTGTGCTGCGCTGCGCTCCGTGCCAGCGGGTGCAGCAGCAGGACGAGTGTGAGCAGGCCGGCCGGTCCCGCCATGGCCGCCGCCCTTCCCACCAGCCACACACGCGCGCGGGCACTCCCTCTTGAGCCCAGCGGCACACTGGCGGCGTGCGGGCGGCCTGCAGGCGCGCCGCCCCGGCTGCCGACCAGCCCGGCCGGCCCGGCCGGCAGCCGGCCGGCCGCACAGGGTCACATGCAGGCCGGCCGCACGACATCGGCTGCAGGCTAGCCGCACAGTTCAGCCTCAGACTGTCTTCACAGATCCGGCTGCAGACTGGCCCTATAGTCCAGCGTCAAGCTGTGTGCGCGTCCCACCGACAGACTGCGGTCCCGACCGCAGTCTATGCAAAGCGTCAATTGCGATCTGCCAGCACAGCGCAGGCCTCGGCAGTCCGCACGACCGGCGACAGACTGCGTCGCTGACAGACTGCCCGGACTAAAGCTGCCCGCCCAGCCCTGACTGCAGACTACCTGCACAGCACTGACGGCAACCGTCTACGCATCACCGATTAGTCTGCCCACACCACCATACGACGGGTTGTACTGATTGGCTGGCAGACTGACTCAGTCGGCACAACCGCAGGCTGACGATGCGACGCTGCCTGAAGACCGCCCATGCACAACAACATCAGCAGGCCAGGGACGCAACAGGTTGCGTCAAATAGGTTACCGCCGGTCGGCGCAGCACCAGCTTGGCACCGCTGGCGCCGGGTCGCCGACACCGCTCTCGGCTGGCCGCCAGGGTAGTCGGCGCAGCACCAGCTTGGCACCGCTGGCGCCGGGTCGCCGACACCGCTCTCGGCTGGCTGCCAGGGTAGCCGGCGTAGCACCAGCTTGGCACCGCTGGTGCCGGGTCGCCGGCACCGCTCCCGGCTGGCTGCCAGGGTAGCCGGCGCAGCACCAGCTTGGCACCGCTGGCGCCGGGTCGCCGACACCGCTCTCAGCTGGCTGCCGGGGTGGTCGGCGCAGCACCAGCTTGGCACCGCTGGTGCGGGGTCGCCGGCACCGCTCCCGGCTGGCTGCCAGGGTAGTCGGCGCAGCACCAGCTTGGCACCGCTGGTGCCGGGTCGCCAGCACCGCTCTCAGCTGGCCGCCAGGGTAGCCGACGCAGCACCAGCTTGGCACCGCTGGTGCCGGGTCGCCGGCACCGCTCCCGGCTGGCTGCCAGGGTAGCCGCGGTGTATTGGCACCTCATCGCGCAAATATCGCGACGACGCCCGGCGCTCCAACTGGCCACGTGCAGACCACGACATGTTCAAAGCAGACCGCTGCCGTCGATTCATTGCTCTCTGGGGCGGTAACAGATGCACGAGCACCGATTTGTCGGTGGCACCTGCTGTTTAGCATTGTAACCACTGGTTGCAGGAGGGTGTGCTAACATCGGCTCCGGTGCAGCGCAGCCTGAGGCCGCTGAAGCTGGAGATTGCTGTCCCGTCAAGGTATTTCGGAGAAAGCGGGAGGAGAGGGGGGTGCTAACTTTAAGGTGCGGTATGGTGACAATGAGAACAAACTTAAAGAATCGTAGTTGATCGTCTGAGATAGGTTTTTCGCAGCAATACTGGGTTCATCAAGCGTAAATAAGCAGATTCAGTAAAACGCGACTTACGTATTATTTTCGTCTGTTTTGTTTTCTTCTTTTTAATTTTGTTTTCCCTCTCCATTCTGCAATGTCTATCAACAAAAAACAAGACAGGTACACATCTACATCAAAACATTTGAATTTCTAAGAATTAAGAAATTGAACTGCTTATGACTGTTATAATGTTACATCTGACCGTCCCGACCTGTGCTGCGAGTGATTGCGCATTCCACAGAAGCCGCGTATTTTCCCCAGATCGATCTCAATGCAGAGAAGCGCGGTATGCATGTCATCTCAGTCTGACGAAAGACGTCTCATCGCAGTGCACGACGCACCTTCCAACGAGCGGAACTGTCCGGAAATTGTCACCACACCAGCGGCCTGCCGCGTCCCAGCCCGCCCCGAGGTCACCAGGCGGAAATACCCGCGCGGTCGGCCCCCGGGCTGGCGCAGTTCGGCGAAGCTGGGGACAGGGCGACACCCAGCGGCCGGATCAGCACACCAGCACACATGCCTGCCTGGCTGCGGCGCCCGTCAGCCGGCCGCTGATTGATTTTGCCGCTCATGGCATTGATTCGCGATGCTTCACGGAAGCGGATGGCGTGATGTTGGGACCACACATCGCCACTCCCAGCCCGCCATTAGCGGAATCCAGCCAGGGCCCGGACGGAAAGGTGCAGCGCCGGTTTTTTGGTTCCCATCCATGGCGTGCCTGCCGCATTGACAGTGTATTCATTCTGTGCAGTGCAGTCGATGTCATGCAATCGAAATGAACGACCTAATTTTGTGCCAGTAAAACAGGTGCACTGAAAGCAGAGGCATCTTGACCACTGGACAGATATCCCGTGTCGTCATCCATAGGTTGTATTCATCTGGTTACAAAAGCAGGGGCACAGCTAGGTTCTTGGTTGGGAGGGGACACCGGGTTAGTAAAGGCCTCTGCCGTTGAAATGACACACAATGATAGGTCACGCTATTAGGCCCATTTTGCTTCGAGGGAACCGATTTTTTGTTTAATTTTTTGCCTTCTTTAACTGAAACGGAGTGAAGCAGGAGATGCAATGTTGCTTGTAGTTACAAGTTAAAACAATAAGATAAAGTTTCAGGGCCCTGTAGTGATACCATGCCACCACGGATAGAATCAGGGCTAAACGTTGAGAGAACGCTCATCCTTTCTTCAGTCATTCGATAAAAAAACAATAATTCTAAAGAAGCTGCTCTCATTGACAGTAAAACACTCGCGCTCGACGTTGCAGTCTCCATTAGCCTCGCGACGTCGGCCCTGCAGCTAACACCTGGTGACAGCCAACGGGTGGACGAAAACGCTCGCGCATTGGGAACTAATGTCTTCAAGCGCTTTGCGAAATAACTGAATTTGCATGGAAAGTATTCTGGACCACAAACTTCACCTGTATAATCTTCTGATTGATACTCGGAACGGATTGGCATTTACAGCATCACGAACTCATGACGTAATGGTGGAATCTAATGTTCGTGTCGCTGTAATTGCTAATCCGTTCAGAGGATCAACCTCAAAGTTGCACGCGCGAGATACACGCCCCAGGCTAACCTTGAACAACCCCAGTCGGTTTTCAAAGGTTTTCTGGGGCGTGATTTTCCGCCACATGGTCAGTTTTGTTCGCTTGCCGCCAGTTGGCTGGTGTTAGCTGCGCCGGCCAACGTCGTACGGCTACGTGGAGATTGCGACGTCAGGCATCGGTGCTATTGCCCGAGAGATTACGAGCGCGCATGTTCAAAACCATTTTAGATACTTTTGATCGCCATTCGATTCTGAAAAAGGATAGATGTCCTCAGCCAAACATGTGCTGGCCACGTCTATACCAATATCTGACCTTGTTTCGATTCACCATATTGAACACTAAACAGACCCGCGTCATTCCCTGAAAGGAGCCCTGCGGGTAGAAGACTAGAGGCACATTACCTTCACCGGCCAGGAGCTGAAAGGCCCTTCCTTTCCAGCCCAGGCCACCTACCGGCTGTCATTCTGGTGACACGGGGCCGGGGCCTATGGTCGATTCACAGGCCTTCAGAGAATCAGCATGCAGCCGTGCCTTCTCTGGCACGGGCCCGCTGAATGGGGCAGTTGGTTCTGGATTGACGCGGGGTCCTTCGAATGAAAAAGGGCCCCTTGCTGGCGCAGAGCATTCGGTTATTAGCTCATGGGCTCCAGATAGGCTTATCGGGGCGCTAGCTGCACAGTGGTCGAACCTTCCCAGACGAACATGAGTTGACCATTTCAATACAACGTTATCACCGCATTCGACCTACAATCTACGTTCATTATCATCTACGTTCACAAAGCTCCTAACAGCCCAATAAAATCTGTGACAACTGTTGAGTGCTATTGGCTTAGAAGAAGTGAGGGAGTCATTGCAAAACGAATGACTGTGGTGGTTTATTCCGTACAATCAATTAGCACCAGGCTCCCCTAGTTTATTGACTTCAAATTGTGGACAGAATTGCATCTTTCGGTGCCTTTTGTGTTTCCGTTTCAGTAAAAAAAAGCACAAAGTACAATGAAATGAAGAAAATCGTGCTCCTCAAAACGAGGTGAGCGATATCCGGTGACTTTTTGGGGAAAGGAAGCCTTTCAAAAGGAGCGGGCCATTTGTGAATCCTGTGTCCCACGCCTCCCCCTTCACCAGTGCGCTGGCTGCCGCCCCCCCCCCCCTCCCTTCCCTTCCCCATCCAGAAAACCTGTCGGGGTCTCGACTGGGTAGGTCTTACAGCAGCGCAGACCGGCCTGTGTCCTGCCAAGACCCAGTCTTTTGTAGGGGAGGAAGGGGTGGCACCGAACCCCTTTCTTCTGCCTGATATCCTGGTGGAGTTTGAGGTGCGGGTGTCAGAAAAGTAATTCGCCTGCAACCATTTATCAGTTTTCCTAATGTTTTGCAAGAGCGGTCAAAATCTGGTAAAAATTAGATTTCTTCTCGAAAGATTTTGAAAAAGATGTCATACTATGGGGTAGCGCTGACCGCGGGGTTACACCATCCTTCCTTTCTCCATACAGTTTGTATGATCGTAGCAATGATTGCAAACGCTTGACTAACGCGTTTAGAATTACCAAATTTGCAGGAAGAGTAGCCTGTGCGTATTCTGTCGTGTAAAAATCGCACCTATGACTCTAAGCCATGTCCGTCTGACTCAAAGTGAATGAAATACCTCAACATTTCCCACTTTTCTATTTCAGATTTACCCTTTTTCAGGCTACAAATCTAAAATTTCAGGTGATATCGGAGTTGGCACTTCATTATTTGACGATGGGCATCCTGAGAGTGGAAGTACACCGAAGTTGTTGTATCTTCGAGGCATACTGACTTCTTACAACTGTTCCAAGGTTAATCAACAAACATTTAGCCTTTCCTTTACGCGGCGAAGACAAGTGACCCGTTTCTCCATTTTTGGTTTAACAGTACCGTAAAAAGCCGGCAGATTATCAACAAATATTCATTCTTGCGACACAGCTGATCTACCGAGGTACGTAGCC